TGACATAGTTATGACATGAAGTATATTTTTTAATTACCCAAGTTTGAGATTTCAGATAAAAAATCAATACGCCGTAATGGCACCCACAAAAACTGAATTACAACAAATAATGGAAAAATTGGCTGCTTTAGAATTAAAAATCGATAATAACAACACAAAATTTTCGTCTTTTTCTAATGAAATTCTTCAAATTAAAAATGCTTTAACAACAATTGAATCAAAAATTCAAACAATTGAAACAACAATTGAAACTAATTTTAAAAACAATGAGTCATCAGCAAGCGAACAAGAGCGTAACCGTTCAATTGTTGTTATTGGTCTACAAGAATCTAAATCAACAACACCATCAATTCGTGTTGTCGAAGATAAAGCCGCAATCGAAGATGTACTCAACTTGTTGGGGGTTGAGAGCCCATTCGTTTCATACAGAATGGGTAAGTATGACCCAACTGCTAAAGGTTGTCGTTTACTTAAAATTGTTTTTGGTGCTTCAAAGTTTCAGCGAATTACACTTGCTGAATGGAAACGTCACAGAGTGGAAATGAAAAAAGAAGCTAAATGGTCTCGTTTATTGATTAGGCCAAGTCTTACTCGTGAACAATTGGAAACTGAGAAAATTGAACGTACTAAGAAGCGAGATGAATACAATAAAAGAATGAGTGCCAATGTGACTGAAAGAACAAAAAACCACTAAGTGGTCGTCCAAGATTCAAGGTTTTAAAAAATTTTTTAAATAAATCCCCTTTTTATAAATGTCTTTATTTTAATAGCCGGAGCTTAGTTAACAAATTAGATGCCTTAAGATTACTTTTAATTTCTAAATCCTTTAAAATAATTTGTGTTTCCGAATCGTGGTTGAACAAAAAAATCGATAATTCCCAAATTTTACATAGTACATCTTATTCCATCGTTAGATGCGATAGAGGTTCTAGGGGCGGCGGTGCATGTATTTTAGTAGATAATATAGTTCCTTTTTCTCCCGTTAAAATTCCTAAAAATAAAAATTCCGATGTTGTAGCTATAGACATTTATTCCCCAAAATTTGACAAATTTAGAATAATAACAGTTTACCGCCCTACAACAAACGAAAATTTAAATGACTTCCAGGAACTTCTTGAGATCTTAAGTTACCTAATATCTATTAATCATAACTACATAATTGTAGGTGATTTTAATTTCCCCAATCTAATCTGGGAGGATAATATACCGCAAGCTCTCAATCATAAATCACCGTCTGAAAAATTATTTATTGATTTCGTAGAAAACTGTAATCTATTTCAAGAAATCTCTTCTCCAACGAGACAAAGTAATTATCTTGATCTACTTTTCTCCTCTTCCACCTCTCGCGTTGCCAAAAATATTACCATTAATGCCCCATTCAAAAATTCTGACCATAACACCATTGAATTTAACTTAAATTTCAATTGTTTTCCAAAAGAACCAGAATTCATTCATGACTTCCACAATGCCGATTACAATCAAATTAACAATATTCTAATCGGTTTAAACTGGAATACTTTGTTTATAAATTGTACCAATGTAGATTCTCAATATACCCTATTTTTAGAAATCATTCATCAAATTATCCAAAATTTCATACCACTAAAAATGATCAATAAAGATATTGCTAAATTCCCTAAACATATTCAAAAAATGATCTCATATAAAAACCTTTTATGGAAAAATATTAATAAACCTACTACCCGTGAAAAATACATTTTCACTCAACAGAAAATCGATAAAGAAATTTCTCGTTTCTTTAAAAATAGAGAAATCTCAAAATTCAATGATTCCCGATCTAAATTCCAGTATATAGGCGCCTTCCTTAAATCCAAAAAAACCAAAATCCCAATCTTCAACAATAACAATCAATTTACCATTTCAGCCAAAGATAAAGCCGAATGTCTCGCCAAACAATTCCAATCTGTTTTTAACTCTTCTAACTTTGACTCCTCTGACATAAAAGCTTTTAACAAAAATACTTTATCTTTTATTGATATCAATCCAGAGGAAATCTATAACATTATAAGCAAACTTGACAATGTTAATAACCTATCTCCGGACGGAATTCCCAACATTTTCTTAAAAAACACCGCAACTTCATTAACCATTCCATTAACAATTATATTTAATATGTCAATCATGACAAGTAAAATTCCGACTATTTGGAAAAAGTCAATAATCCGACCAATTCCCAAAAATAATAATCCAAATGAACCCAAGGATTTTCGACCTATCTCTCTCTTATGCTCAACCTCTAAAATTTTAGAACGGATTATCTCTAATAAATTGACTTCATTTCTTGAAACTAACAATTATCTTCCCACCTGCCAACATGGTTTCCGTAAAAACCATTCAGTTATAACTCAACTCCTAGAAACTTATAACGACTATACATTAGCTATAGAAAATAAGAAATGTGTTGACGTTATATTCTTCGACCTGGCAAAAGCTTTTGATACTGTTCCCCACGATCGCCTTCTGAAAAAACTCAATCATCTAGGCATCACTGGCGCTTTACTAAATTGGATTGAGGATTATCTGTTAAATCGAACTTTTACTGTTCTTGTCGAATCTAATAACTCTAATGAATATCCTATAACAAGCGGAGTTCCTCAAGGATCCATTCTTGGCCCAATTTTATTCATCTCATATATTTTTGATATAATAGATATCTGTGAAACAGAAAATGTAACACCCAAATTATTTGCTGACGATTTAAAGGCCTATACCTGCTTTGACTTCTTAAACAAAAATCACTATTCTCCACTCCAAAAATTTATCCAAACATTCTCAAAATACTGCGAAATAAATGGCCTTAAAATCGCTGTCAGCAAATGCAGTTCTTTTCACATAGGAACTAAAAATCCCTTCCACCAATATACTCTACAAAACATTAATATACCAATTATTCCACACAACGAACCTATTCGTGATCTTGGCATCTATTTTACATCAAACCTGAAATGGGATTCTCACATTAAAATTGTAACAAATAAAGCAACTGGAATTTATTATACTCTTATAAGATCCCTTAAAACTAATAATACACAATTCCTAATTACTTTATTCAAAATATATGTCTTACCTATCCTTGAGTTTGGATCTCCTATAATTAACCCTTATCTAAGTAAAGACATTAACGCTTTAGAAAATGTTCAACATAAATTTTTAAAAATAATATATTTACGCTCTATAAAACATAACAACAGTCCAACCTTACCTAATTATAAAGAACTCCTAGACCTATTTAAACTTGAATCTCTATCGCATAGACGTCTAAAATCTAATCTTATCCTTTTCCATAATATCATTTTAGGTAAAATTAATCTAAAACACGATAATACATATAGCATTCTCCCTACCACTACTAGAGGTAATCCACATAACCTATTTATCCCCTTTTGTTCAAGCACCATTCGGAAAAACTCATTTTTTATAGACATACCAAACATTTACAGAAAACTTCCAACAGAATTACAAAAATCGTCAATCGAATTGTTTCCAAAGCTCCTAAACAATTTTAACATAAACAATATTTTATCATAGCCACATTCCATTCAAATGTCTCCAGACCCTTAGCGATTTAAATTTAAATTATTGTCACGTTTACTTTACTTTATTTTATCTGAATGTCACGTTTTTATACGTATAAATTGAATTGAATTGAATTATCGGAGTCGGCGACTTTATGTCATAATTTTGTCAAATCTTGTCCAATCGAGTTGATTTTGTCGTCATTCGACTCAGCTCGAAGAGCTCTTTCGAATGAGCTATCATTTGTATAAACTCTCGAACCCATGGTTTTTCGCCCCTATTGTTGTTCAATTTTCAGGGGTCTGTATCTCGGTCCAATTAAGTCGGATTTTGTCAATTTTGGTGTCATTCGACTCAGCTCGACGAGTTCTATGACACAAGATTGACTGACCATTTTTTAACACTTTGAGGAAGGAAAAAGGAGTGGGGGGTACGAACCGAAGAATTACCGTCTTTCTTATGCAAATGTGCAGCAGCGTATATTCTCTCACATTGTGCCTAATAAAAAACCGGAAAAGTCCCGAAAAAAGAATCGCGTTATAAAGAAGCTGACAGCACATTTTGCCACTTCTTTCTCTGATGCTCCCCATTTCACCACCGGACTTTTCCGGATTTTTGTTAAACACAATGTGAGAGTGTACATACGCAGCTGCACATTTGCATAAGAAAATCGCGAATAGGCGTTTTCACTATGAACTCTAAAAATAAATTTTAAACAAACCGTAATAATCAAATACAAAACAAATGTTATATAAATACTTCCAGGGCCAATTAACATTATCCAAGCCATCCAAGTTCCCTCTAATTCAGCCATTATATAATCAAAAGAAAAATATAAATTAATTGCAATTACTAAAAGTGAAGTAAAAAATGCAAATACCTTTAAAAAATTTAAAAATTTTTAAAAAATTTTTTTCAAACTTGTCCAGTTAATGTTGTACAAAAATCAAACATTATTTTTCGATGTGCAGTAAATGTAATTATTGGTAATAAAGCAAAAGGTAGTTGAATCATTTGTACACAATTTAACAAGTCATTCATCCCTGTTAAATTCTGCACTCCTTGGGTTTTTAAGGCAAGAGATAATGTTGGCACAATTGCTATTGAACGGGTAAATAAAACTCTCCTCCAACGAGGCCATTTGATTTGTAAAAAGCCTTCCATGGTGAATTGACCAGCATATGTGCCTACAAATTAAATTAATTAATCCAATGGGGTACGGCCCAAGTAGGCGCGCGGCCAAGTAGGCGCAAAGTCATAACCTGCTTCAAAATTTCCGAATCTTACCAAATTTGGTATTAAACGATTCCTCTCATCGAGTTAAAGAGATTGGTACCAAAATTGTTAAGGTCCATAAATTTTTCAGATAGTTATGGCTTTGCGCCTACTTGGCCGCGCGCCTACTTGGGATGTTTGTTTTTTAATTTTTTTTCAAAATTATTTTCAATTTTCTAGGCAGCGACATGCAAGAAGTTATAGGTACAGCAATTGCTTTTTCTTTGCTTTCTAATGGAAGGTTTTCTTTAAAAAAATTTTTTTTTAATTTATTTTTATTAGAATTCCTCTATTTGTTGGTGTTTTAATCACAATGGTTGACACCTTCACTTTTTTACTTATTGACCGTTACGGGTTTCGAAAATTGGAATTTATTTTTGCCCTTTTAATTGCTACAATGGCTATAACTTTTGGATTTGAGGTTTTTTTAATTTTTAAAATTAAAAATTTTTTTTAAAAAGTTTTTTGTTGTAAAACCAGACATTGTTGATTTAATTTCTGGCACTTTGCTCCCTTATTGCCCCGATTGTGGCAGAAAAGAATTTTTACAAGCAATAAGTGTTGTTGGAGCAGTTATAATGCCACATAACCTTTATTTGTAAATTTTTTAAATTTCTAAAAAATTTTTGAAAATTTAAAAAATTAAATTTAGGCATTCCGCTCTAGTAAAAAGTCGTAAAATTGATAGAAGTCAACGCAGAAATATTTCAGAAGCAAATCTTTACTATTTTATTGAATGTGTAATTGCTCTAACTTGCAGTTTCTTTATAAATCTTTTTGTTGTTTCTGTATTTGCTCATGGACTTTATGGAAAAACGAATGTTGATATTGTGGGTTGGCAAGCAATTTTTTTTTCTAAATTAAAAATAATTTTTTAAATTTAATTTTTCAATCCAAAAAATTTATTTTTTTAAGTTCAAAAGTTGCGAAGGTCAAAGCACAATTCCCGACAGACAACTTTTTCCAAACAATACAGACCCTGTAGAGGCTGATATTTACAAAGGAGGAATTTTTCTGGGTTGTCAATTTGGACTGACTGCTCTATATGTTTGGGGTGTTGGAATTATGGCTGCTGGTCAGAGTAGTACAATGACAGGTTTTTAATTATAATATTTGAATTTTAATTGGGACAGAAGGGGAAGCTTTAAGATAAGGGAGTGGTTTTTTCGGAAATTTCAGGGCCAGACTCGAAAAATTTGAAGGTAGTGGCTTTTGAAAATTTACTTTAACGCTCTTACATTGGCTGTTTCTGCTTGACACCATTGGATTGGGACACGCCCAAGTAGGCGCGCGGCCAAGTAGGCGCAAAGCCATAACTATCTGAAAAATTTATGGACCTTAACAATTTTGGTACCAATCTCTTTAACTCGATGAGAGGAATCGTTTAATACCAAATTTGGTAAGATTCGGAAATTTTGAAGCAGGTTATGACTTTGCGCCTACTTGGCCGCGCGCCTACTTGGGCCGTACCCCATTGGATTAATTAATTTAATTTGTAGGCACATATGCTGGTCAATTCACCATGGAAGGCTTTTTACAAATCAAATGGCCTCGTTGGAGGAGAGTTTTATTTACCCGTTCAATAGCAATTGTGCCAACATTATCTCTTGCCTTAAAAACCCAAGGAGTGCAGAATTTAACAGGGATGAATGACTTGTTAAATTGTGTACAAATGATTCAACTACCTTTTGCTTTATTACCAATAATTACATTTACTGCACATCGAAAAATAATGTTTGATTTTTGTACAACATTAACTGGACAAGTTTGAAAAAAATTTTTTAAAAATTTTTAAATTTTTTAAAGGTATTTGCATTTTTTACTTCACTTTTAGTAATTGCAATTAATTTATATTTTTCTTTTGATTATATAATGGCTGAATTAGAGGGAACTTGGATGGCTTGGATAATGTTAATTGGCCCTGGAAGTATTTATATAACATTTGTTTTGTATTTGATTATTACGGTTTGTTTAAAATTTATTTTTAGAGTTCATAGTGAAAACGCCTATTCGCGATTTTCTTATGCAAATGTGCAGCTGCGTATGTACACTCTCACATTGTGTTTAACAAAAATCCGGAAAAGTCCGGTGGTGAAATGGGGAGCATCAGAGAAAGAAGTGGCAAAATGTGCTGTCAGCTTCTTTATAACGCGATTCTTTTTTCGGGACTTTTCCGGTTTTTTATTAGGCACAATGTGAGAGAATATACGCTGCTGCACATTTGCATAAGAAAGACGGTAATTCTTCGGTTCGTACCCCCCACTCCTTTTTCCTTCCTCAAAGTGTTAAAAAATGGTCAGTCAATCTTGTGTCATAGAACTCGTCGAGCTGAGTCGAATGACACCAAAATTGACAAAATCCGACTTAATTGGACCGAGATACAGACCCCTGAAAATTGAACAACAATAGGGGCGAAAAACCATGGGTTCGAGAGTTTATACAAATGATAGCTCATTCGAAAGAGCTCTTCGAGCTGAGTCGAATGACGACAAAATCAACTCGATTGGACAAGATTTGACAAAATTATGACATAAAGTCGCCGACTCCGATAATTCAATTCAATTCAATTTATACGTATAAAAACGTGACATTCAGATAAAATAAAGTAAAGTAAACGTGACAATAATTTAAATTTAAATCGCTAAGGGTCTGGAGACATTTGAATGGAATGTGGCTATGATAAAATATTGTTTATGTTAAAATTGTTTAGGAGCTTTGGAAACAATTCGATTGACGATTTTTGTAATTCTGTTGGAAGTTTTCTGTAAATGTTTGGTATGTCTATAAAAAATGAGTTTTTCCGAATGGTGCTTGAACAAAAGGGGATAAATAGGTTATGTGGATTACCTCTAGTAGTGGTAGGGAGAATGCTATATGTATTATCGTGTTTTAGATTAATTTTACCTAAAATGATATTATGGAAAAGGATAAGATTAGATTTTAGACGTCTATGCGATAGAGATTCAAGTTTAAATAGGTCTAGGAGTTCTTTATAATTAGGTAAGGTTGGACTGTTGTTATGTTTTATAGAGCGTAAATATATTATTTTTAAAAATTTATGTTGAACATTTTCTAAAGCGTTAATGTCTTTACTTAGATAAGGGTTAATTATAGGAGATCCAAACTCAAGGATAGGTAAGACATATATTTTGAATAAAGTAATTAGGAATTGTGTATTATTAGTTTTAAGGGATCTTATAAGAGTATAATAAATTCCAGTTGCTTTATTTGTTACAATTTTAATGTGAGAATCCCATTTCAGGTTTGATGTAAAATAGATGCCAAGATCACGAATAGGTTCGTTGTGTGGAATAATTGGTATATTAATGTTTTGTAGAGTATATTGGTGGAAGGGATTTTTAGTTCCTATGTGAAAAGAACTGCATTTGCTGACAGCGATTTTAAGGCCATTTATTTCGCAGTATTTTGAGAATGTTTGGATAAATTTTTGGAGTGGAGAATAGTGATTTTTGTTTAAGAAGTCAAAGCAGGTATAGGCCTTTAAATCGTCAGCAAATAATTTGGGTGTTACATTTTCTGTTTCACAGATATCTATTATATCAAAAATATATGAGATGAATAAAATTGGGCCAAGAATGGATCCTTGAGGAACTCCGCTTGTTATAGGATATTCATTAGAGTTATTAGATTCGACAAGAACAGTAAAAGTTCGATTTAACAGATAATCCTCAATCCAATTTAGTAAAGCGCCAGTGATGCCTAGATGATTGAGTTTTTTCAGAAGGCGATCGTGGGGAACAGTATCAAAAGCTTTTGCCAGGTCGAAGAATATAACGTCAACACATTTCTTATTTTCTATAGCTAATGTATAGTCGTTATAAGTTTCTAGGAGTTGAGTTATAACTGAATGGTTTTTACGGAAACCATGTTGGCAGGTGGGAAGATAATTGTTAGTTTCAAGAAATGAAGTCAATTTATTAGAGATAATCCGTTCTAAAATTTTAGAGGTTGAGCATAAGAGAGAGATAGGTCGAAAATCCTTGGGTTCATTTGGATTATTATTTTTGGGAATTGGTCGGATTATTGACTTTTTCCAAATAGTCGGAATTTTACTTGTCATGATTGACATATTAAATATAATTGTTAATGGAATGGTTAATGAAGTTGCGGTGTTTTTTAAGAAAATGTTGGGAATTCCGTCCGGAGATAGGTTATTAACATTGTCAAGTTTGCTTATAATGTTATAGATTTCCTCTGGATTGATATCAATAAAAGATAAAGTATTTTTGTTAAAAGCTTTTATGTCAGAGGAGTCAAAGTTAGAAGAGTTAAAAACAGATTGGAATTGTTTGGCGAGACATTCGGCTTTATCTTTGGCTGAAATGGTAAATTGATTGTTATTGTTGAAGATTGGGATTTTGGTTTTTTTGGATTTAAGGAAGGCGCCTATATACTGGAATTTAGATCGGGAATCATTGAATTTTGAGATTTCTCTATTTTTAAAGAAACGAGAAATTTCTTTATCGATTTTCTGTTGAGTGAAAATGTATTTTTCACGGGTAGTAGGTTTATTAATATTTTTCCATAAAAGGTTTTTATATGAGATCATTTTTTGAATATGTTTAGGGAATTTAGCAATATCTTTATTGATCATTTTTAGTGGTATGAAATTTTGGATAATTTGATGAATGATTTCTAAAAATAGGGTATATTGAGAATCTACATTGGTACAATTTATAAACAAAGTATTCCAGTTTAAACCGATTAGAATATTGTTAATTTGATTGTAATCGGCATTGTGGAAGTCATGAATGAATTCTGGTTCTTTTGGAAAACAATTGAAATTTAAGTTAAATTCAATGGTGTTATGGTCAGAATTTTTGAATGGGGCATTAATGGTAATATTTTTGGCAACGCGAGAGGTGGAAGAGGAGAAAAGTAGATCAAGATAATTACTTTGTCTCGTTGGAGAAGAGATTTCTTGAAATAGATTACAGTTTTCTACGAAATCAATAAATAATTTTTCAGACGGTGATTTATGATTGAGAGCTTGCGGTATATTATCCTCCCAGATTAGATTGGGGAAATTAAAATCACCTACAATTATGTAGTTATGATTAATAGATATTAGGTAACTTAAGATCTCAAGAAGTTCCTGGAAGTCATTTAAATTTTCGTTTGTTGTAGGGCGGTAAACTGTTATTATTCTAAATTTGTCAAATTTTGGGGAATAAATGTCTATAGCTACAACATCGGAATTTTTATTTTTAGGAATTTTAACGGGAGAAAAAGGAACTATATTATCTACTAAAATACATGCACCGCCGCCCCTAGAACCTCTATCGCATCTAACGATGGAATAAGATGTACTATGTAAAATTTGGGAATTATCGATTTTTTTGTTCAACCACGATTCGGAAACACAAATTATTTTAAAGGATTTAGAAATTAAAAGTAATCTTAAGGCATCTAATTTGTTAACTAAGCTCCGGCTATTAAAATAAAGACATTTATAAAAAGGGGATTTATTTAAAAAATTTTTTAAAACCTTGAATCTTGGACGACCACTTAGTGGTTTTTTGTTCTTTCAGTCACATTGGCACTCATTCTTTTATTGTATTCATCTCGCTTCTTAGTACGTTCAATTTTCTCAGTTTCCAATTGTTCACGAGTAAGACTTGGCCTAATCAATAAACGAGACCATTTAGCTTCTTTTTTCATTTCCACTCTGTGACGTTTCCATTCAGCAAGTGTAATTCGCTGAAACTTTGAAGCACCAAAAACAATTTTAAGTAAACGACAACCTTTAGCAGTTGGGTCATACTTACCCATTCTGTATGAAACGAATGGGCTCTCAACCCCCAACAAGTTGAGTACATCTTCGATTGCGGCTTTATCTTCGACAACACGAATTGATGGTGTTGTTGATTTAGATTCTTGTAGACCAATAACAACAATTGAACGGTTACGCTCTTGTTCGCTTGCTGATGACTCATTGTTTTTAAAATTAGTTTCAATTGTTGTTTCAATTGTTTGAATTTTTGATTCAATTGTTGTTAAAGCATTTTTAATTTGAAGAATTTCATTAGAAAAAGACGAAAATTTTGTGTTGTTATTATCGATTTTTAATTCTAAAGCAGCCAATTTTTCCATTATTTGTTGTAATTCAGTTTTTGTGGGTGCCATTACGGCGTATTGATTTTTTATCTGAAATCTCAAACTTGGGTAATTAAAAAATATACTTCATGTCATAACTATGTCAAATCTTGTCCAATCGAGTTGATTTTGGCGTCATTCGACTCAACTCGAAGAGCTCTTCCAAATGAGCTATCATTTGTGTAAATTTTTTTCATTTCAAAAAATCGCCCCTGTTGTTGTTCAATATTCAGGGGTCTGTATCTCGGTCCAAGTAAGTCGGATTTTGTCAATTTTGGTGTCATTCGACTCAGCTCGACGAGTTCTATAACACAAGATTGACTGACCATTTTTTAACACTTTGAGGAAGGAAAAAGGAGTGGGGGGTACGAACCGAAGAATTACCAGAAAGACTCCCGAATAGGCGTTTTTACTCCGAATTCTAATTATTTTTATTTTAAAAAATAATTTTTTTCTCCAGTGCCTTCAATCAATGTCTCTATTATCTTTAAATTTATTTGACTCAATTCCATTTTTAAAAAGAGAAGATACACAATTTACAATTAGCGCTCCATGGGTTAAAATAACAAATTTTTCTGAACAAATTGGAAGTAGTCGTGATCCGATTGATGCAACAAGTAGTCAAACATTTCGGTAATGAAAGAAGAAAGTTTG